CAAGATACTGGAATAAAAAGTGTAGTAGAAATATGACTCTTGTTTTTCAGTAATTATGTGTTCTTTAGTATGTGTCAGTGATAAGAATAAACCCAGATATTTCATACTTTCAAAATAAATAGGTAAAAAAGATGCGAGAGAGGTAAAGGTAATGGGCTAGGAGGTTAATTATGAAAAGAACTTGCCAGAGTAATTTCCTTGAAATTACTTTCATTAAGGTTTTTTTTTTGTTAAATATAGAAGCGTTTTTTCATTCAAAGGAGGCAGTGGCAAATTTAATATTTTTGTGTTTAGTCTTCTTAACCCTGAAGTTGTCTTTTTAAAGGCAACTTGACCCTGAAGTTGACTTTCTTGTAGTTGATATATATTTTTATGATCGCTTTTTATCTTTTCTTTTATAGTGGATTAACTACTGTAAAAATGTATTATGTATTTCCTTTTTACTTGTTTTACTTCTTCATCTTATAACTTAGTGGTACATGAAGACGCACTTGGGTTAGCTTCTATTTCTTGTCTACCTTGTAACAAATACTTGACATTTAAACTTAGTGAAATAACTTGAATCCTAATGACATTTTTGGATAATATCTTTCCCAAAAGGATGAAGAGAAAATATATTGATCAATCTTGGAATTTGGTTAGATGTTGAGTTCTTAAAAGATTACACTAGGGTTTTACATTCTCATTACAACTTTCTTCTGGTTTAGGACATTGCTTTCCGTGGATAAGTGTGTGTCCTCATAATGCTCTGTGCAGTCCACAGAGTTCCAAGCTGCTTTCCTATTTTACTGTTTTTAAGGTACATCCCATTTGAAAGTATATACTAGATTGTGGTTTAGAAATCATCTTCTTTTCCGCCATAGCCAATGTAATACCTGGGCTAACTAATTCCAAGGAAGTTGGGTTTTGCTTGTGTGTTTGCCTTTTGGCAGTATCATTCACTTTTTAAAATTGAAAATTTGAAATTGGATGTTCTGGCAATACCTCGTTTGTTTTCTTACTTATTGTAAATCTGGAAAAAGAACATTAGGAAACCTATAATGGGTGTTGTAATTTAGCTAAAACCGGGATCATCTGAGGATAATACCTTTGAAGTTTCTGCTGACCATACTCTAAAATTAAGCTGACCCCCAAAAGAGATCCATGAAAGTAATACTTTTGATAGGTTTTTATTTTCCTTAGGGTTAGAAAGTTGAACTTTTCAGTGTCTACTTTAGATACAGTCAACCACTTAACCAAACTCTCCTTTCCTTTTTGTTTCTTGACTAGTAGACTTCATTTATTTGTAAACATGCACTGAATTTACCTAACTCAGTGTGCCAAGCACTCTTCTAGGGCTGGAGATACAAAATGCACTGCTTCTGTGAAGGATGTTCTTTCATTTTCTTCTTAATGCCAGCTTGGGCTGTTCTGGACTCTGGAAGGATTTGTGAGAAATTCTTTTTCTTTATAGATGTGCCTGAGAGCCAGTAAGAATGAGTGATAAAGAGGAACAGCAAAGAGATACTACAGCATGCATCTAATTTAGAGTAGAATGTCTTGTTTTATGAGTAACCTGTAAATCTATAAATTAGCAAACTCAACTTCAGATTAGTTATAACACAAGTGAATAGAAATCATAGTCTCTAAAAATGTGTCACCTTCTGTTTCGTTGCTTAAAACTGATTAGGTGTAGCTTCCCCTTTTTCTTCAGTATTAGAAATTCTTAAAACTAATTAGCAGTATATGCTCATTTAATAATTTAGTATTGAGAACAAATATTGCAAATAGTCTAGGTTGTACATTTCAGGAGAATTTCTCAGAGTGGTATTTAGATATGAAATACTTAGATTTATTGCTTCTGGTTTGAATATAACTGGATTTTCAGTAAGAATCTTAAAAAATTGAAGTACTTATGGAAAATGTTAAAATGATTTTATTGATGTACTGGAACACCCGTTTGAGTTCCTTTGTGGCCTTTCAGCATTGCTGATTTTGTTGGCTTTGGTTTGGAATTCATTCCCTAGTGGAGTCCTACAGTGAAGTACTTATTTTTTTTCCCTCTTGAAACATTGCAAAGAAGAATGCTGTCTATTAAAATAGAATTAGGTAAGGTCCTACTGTGTCATTCTTAAGAGCTTCCATCAGTAGTCGCACACAGACTGCTCTTTCTTATTTGAATAATGATCTCGTTTTGAAAGTGCATTTACATTTTTCTATATAAATGGCACAAGATAAAATCTACAGTCTTCATACATTATTAACTCCTAAAGCAAGAGAGATACCAGCTCTCCTCAATGGTTCAAAATAATTTCTGTTTAGAGACATGTTTGTTTATTCATTTTTTGTGTATGAATATGTGGGCTCCACAAGTTTTGGCTCTTTAGGCAACTAAAGAAGTTACATCCTGAAAGTAACCTGACTTGGGAGAAGTTTATATGTGGACCTACTTCTCCAGCCAACTCACTTGCCCTATAATCTAACATAAGGACATTTGTTGTTTTAAATCTAAGTTTGTTGTATATTTAATTTATATACTCCGTGGGGTGTGATAATCAAGGGTTTGGAGCTCCTACTGAAGGAGAAATTGTAAACTTTGCCCAGTATTAATCTGAGCAAGACATGATTTTTTTATTTTCAAAGTGAAGTGGGTCTGTAAACTTAAAAAAGTAAATTACTAGGTATATTTCTTGTTCCAAATGGAATGTTCCCTTTTTTTGTCTGTATTTTCAATCAGATATATTTTTATCACTGGTTAGTATTCAAGAAATGAAGGAAAACTGGGAAATTTGGAAAATCATATCTTGTCTATTGTTTCTGAATATATCTTAATCCAGGTAATGAAATTTTACTTAGATCTCATTAATTTGGAAATCTTTACTAATTTTTAAGGTTTATATTCAAATATCAGACAGGAAAAGAAGACTAGAGGATGATTGTTCAATAATTTAAAAGCACGTTTGCAGCACCTGTTTGCTCCGTTATGGGTACAATGAAAATATAAATAGCATTGCTCTGGTGTATGAATTTTAAGCCTTTCTTGTCTGTTAAAGAGCCACCCCTTAGGAGCTCAAGCTGTGGAGGACTGTGTTAATCTAGTTGGGATTTTTGGACTCTTGAACACACCTAATAAAATTGCAGTTTTTGAGATACTCAGTATTCAGATCTTTTTCTGTTGGGTTGTCGGAAAAGTCATGACGCATTTTAGCAACAAAAAACAAAAAATATGTCATGACTTTTCTGACAACCTAATAATTTGTGCTCCTTTCCTCTCGTCATCCCTCATATAACTCTTCAATGTGATTATACTGTAAAATACTGTTTTAACCTACTGCTCAAAAAAAATAGTCTCTTCAAAACTAAAAGACTTTAGGACTTAAAATCTATTGGAAACTTAAAATTAAAAAATAGCTGGCACGTAGGCTTATAAAATATTTTCATAATTATTTTTTTGATACCTCTTGCTAGATGGCAGTTTCACCCTTCGACTTCTTTTAGATTCCTTTTTTCATTTCTTTCTGTAATTTTTGGAAATTAATAGATTTGATGGTTAAATTTGTAATTCCAAACTATTTTCATTACTCACTTGTACAGAATTGAATATATTCCTAAAGCAGAAGTGTTAGCTCGATCTTTCATCTTTAGGCTTTTAAAAAAGTTGAATCTATATGTTGTTAGGTAATGGAATAACCGTTCCTTTTCAGCAATTGGTATACCCAAACTGGCCACCTGAGCCAGGAGGAAGTGAAGGCATTAAAACATTAACTTTGGTTGGTTGCTACCTTCTTAGTGCTGAGACTGTAACCTTTGTTGGTTGATTGATAGAGAACAAGAGAGCACAATCCTCGTTCCACTAACAGGTAAGGAACCCTTGTGATAACCAGTTGGTGTGAGTGAGCGATTACTTGATTGTATTTTTTTCTTATTTTATCCCCAAATAGAATATGTCCCTGCAATAGGGTAGTGTGTCCGACTGTGTCCATACAGCAGGAATACGCAGCACCTTTCTACTTAGACTAAGATCTGAAATTTAATAGGGATATATCACTCTGTACTACAGAGTATAATTGATCTGTTTTCCACTGTTTGTCCTGCAATCCCTATAACTTTAAATACATGCCTGCCTATCTTACTCTCCTTTTCAGCTTTTCCTTGATCAGATGCTATGTGCTTTGAACTTCCTTCTCTTATTTACCTTATTCCTATAATAATGCAAACTATTTTCCAGTATCTTTATCATCATCTATTATTTGGGTATATCTTACTGCTTTAATTTCTGCATTGTAGCCATTAATGATTATTTCCTGGTCCTTCTTGACCCAAAACCAAATGATCATATGTTTTGAAAAGAATTTTAGTCTGTTATTACCTATGTCCACTATTCTGCCCTCCCACTTTTAAATCTGAGTGCTTGAAGAATAAATCTTTTTCAGTGACGGTAGTCGTAGCTTGATAAAATTCAGGTTTAGCTTTGTATTGCTATAATATGGGACTGTAGTCTGATTAATTCTTTAAATTACTGAAGACTTAAAAACCGAGAACAAATTCAGCTTCTTAGACAATTCCCAAGGTTTAGCAGTATTCCTGTTAATATGCTTGATTATTCTGTGTCTGCTTTTCAATCCGTCTTCTTCTCTTTGAAAGAAGGATTAAGTGGGACTCCTCCTTTGATATATCTGAGGTCGAGTGCCTTTCCCTGTCCCTTTAAGACAACCACGAATGATCTCGTTTCCAGTCGTAATCTATCATTTTCCGACTCGGTCTTCACCACTTGAAGTTGAGTGGTTTGTCACAGAGTGTTTGGCTTAGACCAAGATAGGTCCATTCTTAATAATTACTGAGGAATTAATCATTTGTGGGACAGATTTCTAAAACTCAGATTAAGAAGGCACTAAAGAAAGTATGCCCAAAGGTAGCTCCTTTTTATCCTGAGGATAAGTCATTACAAACTCAAATGACCAGAGAATGTAATTTCTTAATAAGAATTTTTTCTTAAATCTATATTCAGCTCTCTATTTCAGTGCTTCTCTCCTACCAGAGGTGCAAGGAGTGATCCTAGAGCCACAGATACAGCCAAGACCACGGAGAGCTTTTGACGTCAGGGGTCCACTTTCTCCACTGAACCCTTGGAGACAGAATATCCAGCTTCTGGAGAGAGTGGGAAAGGATAATAAACAAGTGGGTGCTTTCCATTATTTACTTGGGTTTATTTATAGATCGGAGTGTCCTTCCATTGCCCATTTAATTCTATCGGTAAACTCCTTGGGTTCATATTAGAACCGAGTGGGGCTGCAATCTGTTTGTTTTTCTAAGAATGCTAACTAGTGCCCATTCAAAAAAGAGACCTCAAATATATTTCGTGTTCTCTCCAGATAAAGCAGTGTCCTTTGGGGCACTGGATTTGGTGAATGCCTGTGTAGCCCACAGGAATTTACAGAAAGGAGCATTTGCCCATTTTAGCCTTTACTGGGATTAGTGGACTTTGAAGTTCTCTTTTATATTCCAGTAATGAAGACGTTTCTGTATTTCATCTTTGGGCAAGCTGGACATTTGCACTTTGCTAATGTCCACAGTGTAATGTCCAGGTGTGGTCCTTCCCTGTTAGTCAGAAATTGTTGGTCTGTTTCCTACCTCAGACTTTAGGACTTCCTATTAATTAGATCTTTTAGAAGATGCAATGATAGTACTGTTACGGTTTTACTGTCAAAATCTAGGCTTCATTCTTTAGTAAGAGAAATATGAATGAGTATTTACGTTTCAGGATATAATATCCCTGAAAGCTGTATTAAATATACGCACAGTAGTTTTCCAGTCCCCAGGAAAAATGTTATTTGTGGCAAAAGAGCCTTGTCCGAGATTCCCCATGGCATTAAGATGGTTTTCTCTTAGTTTCTTTGATGCCAAGGGTAGGATTGGATCCCAGGAGGTTCTTATCATCTGCAGCGGGTAGAATGTGAACTTGGTGCCTTTGGCAAGTTTTCATTTTTCCTTGGTGGATTCCTTCTGTGACTCCAGGTATCTTGATAATGGGAGACTGGTTTATTTGTTCTCTAATTGCCCAGATTTCTTTCAACTGGTAAACATCATACTTCTTCAGCAAAAGGAACTCTTCTAGCAGAGCCTTCATGGATGATATCTGTCCCACATGCAGCACCTGCAGTTTGGAAGGCAGTGGTGAACGGAGCCATGCACTATATCTAGAAGACACAAGGATGAGAGAGAGCCACCTGATCTGATCTTGTCATTCATAAACTTTAAGATTTACTCTGGTGTACTCTTGGGCTGGAAATGGAAAGGCTCAAATAATGAAATAAGTTTTTCAGATTGGAATTTTACATGGCCATGAAAGTATTCCTTTCTATTCAGAAGACTGAAATAGAGCGAGCACGAGAGACTTCTTTCTTTTAAAAGCAGCTCTCTGTATCTGTTTTATTTAAAAGATTTGTGGGATTGAAAATCACCTTAATCAAGCAGGCAGACTTTTTTTTTTTTAGTAGTATAGGAAATCCAGAGAACTTAATGAAACTGTTTTTTGTTGCCTGACTCTGAAAGGAACTAGAAATAAAAGGTGAACTTCTTAATTATTTTCAAATTACTTGTAAAATCAGGATACACTCTTTTAGCTTATCTTTTTCTGGTCTTGAGCCTTATTCTGATTTATCAGATCAACAAAGATTCCAGTATAGACGTAGGAGAGACACCTTTTGAGATGAAAGTAGATGTTCCTTCTTCTAAAGTAGTAAATACCTATTAAATTTGAGGTATTATTCTGCATTGAAGGCATAGTAAAGTTTGAACGATACTGAAACAGGCATTTTATAGAGCAAAGGAATTAGTAGTATGTGTGAATAAATGTTGCAAAATATTTACCCAAACTGTCAATTAATTGATGGTTAATAGTTATCAAAATTTTTCCATTTCTCTTTTTGGCATTTATTAACTGGTCAGTCACAGCTATTAGAGAAGTGTGTACAAGTTATCTGATGCTGCCAGTTTATTTGGTATCAACTTTAAGAATAGAAATTCGAGAATTTTAATATGGAAGCATCTAGAATGTTTTAGGAATCTAGAAATCACATTTGCTAAGTATAACTCGGCCTTTAGTCTTTCTTGGCTGTCTTGTTAGACCTGTTTTTTCCTCATTAATTATAAATAAATTTTTGTATGTGTAGTACTTAAAAGTTTAAAACATCGATCTAAACTAAAATTTCTTTAGAGAGCTCTGAATTTTCATAAACAATTACAGTTTTTATGCTTGGTTTGTTTTCATTAAATGTTAATAAGACAGTTTTTACAAACATATAAATTTAAAAAATAGCTATTAAACATTTTAGACCTTGGGATTCGAAAGTGAAATTTGTTTGAAAATTAAGTTAGTTGAACTCTTTGAACCACAATATAAACCAGTTTATGGCCTGTGAGATTATTAGCCTTTTGTTTCAGTTTTGAAAGATGAAAAGTGATTTAATCTCTTAATCTCATGCTTTGATTAAATTTTAGCTCTGTTTCTTTAAAGTGTGCAAAAGAAATGTAAGTGCATTTCTATTTACGTCATGCCACTAAAGCTATTTAAAAATGAAACTTTTTGTATATTAATGTGAACTGATTTGTTTATTTAAACTTTTATTTTGATACATTTTCCTTTCAGATTTTTTACTATTTTGTGTCACAATATGCAATCCTATATTTTTCAGTGTTTATTTTATGAATATTAATATAAGCTATTTTTTTCTAGAATGACTGTGTACTATTTGTATTATGTGATCATTTGAAAACTAATAAATATTTTCTCCATGAAAAAAATGCACTTACTGATAAATGGCTTATTTTTGTTTCAGGAGTAGAAAATGAAAACTACAGCAGTATTTTTAAGTGTATTTAAATTTTGTATATCATCCTCTAAGTATTTATGAATATATATCCTATCCTTGTGTAAATCTTTTTTTGAGAAAACAATTTTTTGAACTATTAAATTAAAATGATTCTTCATTGGGCCATTCAGTGCCAAATTTATGAAGTAGATGATCTATTTAGTCTATTTTTTGCATTTTCCTGATTAGCTTCAGGTTAGCTTTGTTTCCAGAAGGATTTTTTTTTAGGTGCCATTTTTATATGTCACTTTTGCAAACCATTAAAACCTTTAAATATCACAAATATTTATAAATATAAATATCACAATGGTCAAACCTTTTAAAGTGAAATTGATCAAAGTATAACTCCTTACAAAATAGCATGCAAATGACAGTTCCTATACCCAGAAGAATACATTTGAAAATAATGGCTGATTGGAGACTACCCAATTTATAAAGCTGTTAACAGGAGAAGAAAAATATTTTTGTAGTTTTCTGCTTGAACAAATAACTGTAGAAGGGGAAATATTGACTTAAGAGTCTCTTGCTTTTAACCTGATATCAAGACGACATGGAGAAGGATAAAATTTGGTTTTAATGATTCTGGTCATCATAGCTCCCTAAATTTAGTCGAAGCCACTGGAACAATTTACCTTTTCTATGCAGAATCTGCTAGAAGCAAGAGGATTTCTCTTTTGATTTGAAGAAAACTTATATAAGAAGGAGACTCCAAAGATTAAAAATAAACATTATGATGGGGTCCTAGGCAAGAAATGAAAAGTTGAATTAGTGGCACCTTGTGGAGTAAAATGAAATACTTTGGCTCCTCAAAGAAATTATACTCTGGGGAAAAAAAAGAATTAGAAAAGAAGGTTATAATTTAGAAGAGCTACTGTATTTGGGGGGGTGGGAAAGGAAACTACAATTCTTGGCTTTATTAGTCTGGTAAGTTTGGAAAAGATGAGTAAGGATTCTGTGGATACAATTTTGTTTTTAAAATTAAAGCTATTAAGAGGTTTAGAGGCATAATATATTTCAATGGAAGGCTATATTTTACTTGGATATAAAAAAGTCCATAATCATTAACTACATGTTTATAAAGGGTAGGGTGTGGGGTGGGGTTAAATAAAAATTTTGCACTAGAAACTTCAAACATATTGTAAAAATAATGGCAAAATGAGAGTTTTAAATAATTTAATTTTTATTACATGGACTCTTCCCTGCACTATCAATAGCTTTAAAATAAAAATGTTATTTAATGTTGAACATGGCTTACCTTTATATCTTTGAGGTATAAGAACATAGGCTTATTATTTCATCATCATTGATTGGATTAACTATGGATAAATTTTTAGTTTTTTTATAACTTCTGTTTTAAAAAAGTGAATGTCACATTAAGCAGTGTGACTTTATAGCTCATTATAAATATGTGCACAGATTTTATTTTGCTTTGCTACATTGAAACAATTGAGCAAAATATCAATGCTTAGACGTCTTAAGCAATTTCTTGCTTTCTTTTTATTTCCCATTAAAAATTCATATTAATGTAGTCCTAAAATGTGAAAGATTTGTGTTTCCAAAAATAAGCATATAGGTGCTCTAAAGTTTTTTTCCACTAAAATTTTTTTCCACCGATATGTACATCTAAGGTAATTAGATTACTGTAGTAAAAATGTTAGGGAACTTCGAAGTGTGCATCGGAGTTTTCAGGAATTATGATCAAAGGGATCTCTACTCGAGGTAAGGCATGACATAGGTAGAAAAATGTTCAAAATGTGTTCAATGTAATAATGTCTGATGATAAAGGAAACTGCAACAGATATCCTTGGATTTTCAGATAGATGTAGAACTAGGAAAATGATTTTTCTTAAAAATCCCTCCCAGAGAAGAGAAATGCATAAACCACAAATTTGTTTTTGTGTGGCTTTGGAGTACACTTAGAAACATACTCCCACGGATGCTGTACCCTGTGTGTACTTGACCGCCTCTATTCCAAGGCATCTCCTATCCTTGCTCTCTTGGTGTCAATGATCCACATTTAATTTAGTATTTCTTAGGCCCTCAGCACTATTAAAATATTGTCCTTTGCATGGAAAGTTGAGTACATATTCCATGAGATTATTGCCTGGCTTCATTTTTGCTGTGAATGCCTATTGTGTTTATTATATCTAGAAACAAAGGAAAATGCAATACTCAATACAGTGAGCTAGGCAAATGATTAGGTCTTTCCAGAATTAAATTGAGTATAATTTACTCAATAGATGGCAACATTGAAAACACAATAATGTTCCATCCTACCTTGTAGTTCTTTTTATAAGAACACCAGCTCATGGACATTTGGCTTTTACTTAAAACAGTTGGCTATCTATTCCACTTTGGCCTTTATGTACAGCAAATGATAACGTTGATATGAACTAGTGAGAGAACTCACTACTTCATGAGGGAGCTGGTGCCGTGTTCAAGGTGCTCTCATGTTAAGAGATTGATCCAGAATTCTCTTCTAAGTCATTTTTTATTTGAAAATTACCTTAGAAATTACCTAGTTTAGCACCCCCCATTTTTATTCAAGATAGGAATATCACATATATTTCTAATATCACAGTTGATAAACCAAATGCCTGTAGGACTCGAATCTCTTGACTGCGAGCTCAGAGACCCTGACTTACCTGAGCTTGACTGCCCTCTCATGTTGATCCTAGTTCTGCGTAATAGAGAGCAGGGCTGAACGTCCTTCAAATATGGCAGCCATCAGGAATTTTAAGATGGCTGTTTTATACCCCATCAATTCCAAGCCAACTTGTTGTTTTTTTCCTACAAGTTAAGCACCTCCATTTTCTTGCTCTTGTTCGTGTAGCATGGCTTTGAGATCTTTAAAAGTTTTGTAGATCATCTCTGAACATGCTTTAGTTTATCATTGTTCCCTTAGTGTGTGACCCTGAACCAAACCAATCCAGGTGTGCTCGCCCTGGGTTTGGTTCTGCAACACTCATGCCACTTAGCTTATCCTTTAATATTTATCCATTAAGGGGCTTAATTTCATGCGTGTTGAGATTCTGTTGAGTAAAGAAAGTTACAGTGATAGGCAAAACTTTAAAAAATTAGGTTAGTAGTATGTTTTTGCAAAGACTAATGTTCACAGTTTAGTGGAAAAGAAAAAAAATTGACCCAAGTTAATATCTAAGACCTTGAGAAATCATAGTCAAAAGAACACAATCTCCATTTCAATTACTTTTTATACTCTCGCTTAATTCTAACTTAACTATAAATTCCATAGTAAATGACTTTTGTAATGTAAAATGTTATTTTCAGGTTGTCCTTGCTAATTTAAGGATAACTAGGCCCATTGGAGCTAAACTGTTGACATGCGAGTGACATTGAGAAGAAACTGAGCTTGTGTTTAATAACATAATTAAAATTAGAAACGAAAAGCAGTGCTTTAGTGGAAAAATTTGGGTCTGTACCAAATGGCAGACGAAGAAGTAGCACTGGAAGCCTGAGGCTGTGGCCTAAGTTCCCATGCAGGCGGCTTAACGTCTTAACGCGGCCTCTTGAATACAGAGCAGATACCCCGCTGGAGCAGCGTTGATTTGGTATAACAGCGTTTTTAAATGACCACTTAAATATTTAGCTTTTTTCTCCCAGATTTTAAATTGAGCTCCAGGAAGACACAAAGTGTGTATTTAATGGTTGTGTATACCTCTTAGGGTCTAAGTAACGATTGTTTGAGAAACACTGGCTTGAGCTGTTGGGTATATTCCACCTTACCTGGATTAGAAAGAATTTTAGGGTGCATGAGGGAGAAATTAGAAAGGAACAAACATTTACATGCCTACTCTGTGTACCTTTGGCTAGGTGCATTACGTATAGTTATCTAATTTAACCCAGCTGACCTGTGAGAAAGGTCATTTTTCTGTTTTACACATACTGAAGATCAGAGGTTACAAAACCTGCCCAAGGGCACGTAATCAGCAAGCAACACAGATGCCATTTGTAGAACTGTCCAAATCTAAAGAATTATATTGCACCACTTAATGCTGAACACCTTTGCCCAAAAGTGCATATTCTCAGGAAAATTTCTTATAGAACCTCAGTATTTAAAGAAGATAAAAGGGATATTTTATTTAGTATGCATTTCTTAATTGACTTTTTTTTTTTTTTTAAGCTGAGCCATCCTGACCTCAATGGTAGCTCAGCTCGGGCCGGGAAGCGAACCAGCGACCCTGTTGCTCAGAGCTCGCACTCTTGAGTGAGCTCTTAACCAACTGAGCCACTCAGCTGGCCCAATCGACCTTCTTTTAAAAAGAAGAGTTTTATTGAAAAATTGACCAGAAAGGACAGATGTTCACCTCACCCCCGTGAATACCTGGTGTCCCTCCCTTCCCTGCTTTTTCCTGTTACTAACATCTTGCTTTTCTCTGGTGCATGTGTTATAATTACTGAACTAATATTGATGTGTCATTATTAAAGTCCATAGTTTACATGAGGGTTCACCCTTTGTGTCATAGAGTTTTATGGATTTTGCCAAATAGATAATATCATGTGACAATTATGGTGTCATGCAGAATCGTTTCACTGACGTACACATGGCTGTTCTTCACCTGTCCACCCCTTCCCTCGCTCACCAGCCCTGGCAACCACACATCTTTTTCTGTTTCTATAATTTTGCCATTTCCAAAATGTTACATAGTTGGATGTATAACCTTTTCAGACTGGCTTCTGTCCCTTAATAATATCATCTTTGGCAAGGTGTCCAGATCTTTTGCCCAGTTTTAGAA